ATAAAGTTTCTAAGACAAGTAGGAACTGAAGGAAAGCGTGCAATATCTAATCTTTTATGTAACTATTGGGATTCGGACCTTAAAAAAAAAAAAAAAAAAAAAACTTCAGGGTCTCTTGAACCTAAAGTCGACTCAGAAAAGTTAACTAAAAAGACCGGACTTTTCACATCCTTAAATAAATTGATATTGATATTGATATTAATATAAATTTTAAGCAGCGATTACGTAAGTACTGGTTCGGGTGGTGTTTGCACCTTATTTAGGTTCCGGGTTAACTTCCCGACGACCCTTTTTTTGAAATACCATTTCACCGAAGTCGTAATACTGAAATCCATTTTACCAACAGGACATAATCGGGTCCTTGTCATTTCACCAACAATCAATTCGCCGAGAAGTTTATCTCACCGACAAGTTTTTTAAAAATTGCACTAACCTTAACTCTGACCCTAACAGCAATGACCGGAAATGAAATGACTGTGATGAAATAAACCATCGGAAAAAGGGATACCGGGAATTATGGGTCGGAGAAATGGCATTTCGGGAAGGTGGGCTTCGGGAAAGTGAGTAACAACGCCTTATTTACTGCATCTTATTTGATTAGGTTAGATGATCTACATCATCTTTTATTTTATTTTTAAGGGAGTGTTAAGCACTTTTTGATTCAATTATGGTTATTATTTTATAAAGATATCAAGAATACAATTTATACATGTAGATTAAATATAACGGACCCCTATCTTTTAGTGATAAAATATTATGCAGTATATATGTAGATTAATATAGCGAACGCCTATTTTTTAGTGATAAAATAGATTTAAGCCAAGCACCATAAATGCATTTGAGTGACGAACCCGACTCTGGGTTTTAAGATTACTGATCGGATTCAGTTCCTGAAAAATCAATACGTACGCACGTAAGTACGTACGTACGTACGTAGTTAATCAAATTTTTCAGGAGTTGAGTCCGATAAAAAACATACTTGAAAACCCACTCATCTATAATCGTAAAAGAAACTACTACTATTACAGTCAGTGATTTTCAAATTCGTGTAACGCAGGTCATTTCTCTTTTTGATAAAAAATCTTTAATTGGAAAATTCTTTTTTAACCGCCTTTTAAAGTCCTAGAATAACTTTTGCGAGAAAATTTTAAAGGTTTTTTAATTGATTGTTATTTTTAGATAAACGCTTTTTTTTTTAAATAGAAATCGAGTTTAGAATAACCTTTTAGTATATTGCAGATCATTTCTATATCGCTGACTGTATAACCGGTAAAAAAATTATTTAACTAAATATTAACCAGTAATATATAGTACGTACTTATTTGACTAAAAATATATTAAACTGCAAATATTACGTAGTAAATATATAGAAATAAGTTAATATTTGTACTATATATTACTGGTTATTATTTAGTTAAAATATAATTTTTAAATAAACAAATATCGCACAACAATATTAGTTTATCGATAGATTTACATATAATTCAGTAAATTTGATTGGCTAACTTTAGAAAGGGTTGCATCAATTAGATCAATTAGATCAGTTTATTGATTTTGGCAGGACTGGTATCGATCGCGCTTTAGAAATAGACTATAAGGATAAATTATCATTTATTATGGGTAGGATTTTATTTTCATTTTAAAAAGTGCCTCAAAGCTGGTTTAGAGTTGGTTTTCTCATTTGTTTCTTTATGCTAGGTTAATTAGGAATATCAATATTGATATCTCTGCATCTCCGATATGAGGTTTCACAAATAATTTACATTTTCTCGACCAAATCTTGTTATGTTGCGTTTTATTTGTATTTATAGTGAAATTAATAGAATGCACAGATTTGTTTTGGCGCATTTATTAGTTTGGTTTTATATAAAATGAGAGGAAAACGCTGTATCGTACATTTCCACTGAGAATTCCACAGAATCAATTTATTATAATAGATATGGATTCAAAAGACCCCCCTCACGACCCATCGTTGATTAAAAGATTATCTTACCAACGTGGGTGGGGAAAGCCAGGTAACTTTTTTTTCTTTTTAGATTTAATTTGTAATTTGAAAATTTTAATAAATTAATCACTTTTCTATTTAACCGAATTTATGTTTGTTAAAATCCAGATATTTTGCATTGTAAAAATTCTGTAAGTATTAATCCTACAGTCCTAATCTATATCTTATTAACTTCAATCAACTAACGTATACATATTAATTAAGGTATTTTTAACGATTATTCCAATCCTTATTGTTTCGACTGCATTCACATCCGTAATCTGTACATTATTCATTATCTACGATATTAATGTAACCTTACCGGGAGCCTTGGGTAAGAGCTTATATTCCTTCCCTTCACAAATAAATTAGGAAGACTTATATTTACTATATATATCCATTAGTCGGTACTGTTACCGTTGTGGTCGGTCTTCTTCTGGCTTTTCGTACAAACCATGCTTATGATAGATATTACGAAGGTCGAAAATTATTTAGCAGCTTATGGTACGTGCAAATAATTCAAAAACCTATTATCATGTAAATGAGAGTAAAAAATTTATGTTACTATATACCATAGTACTCTTGCAAGAAATAGCACGCGAATGATTTGGATCGGTGCTTCAGAAAATTCAAAGAAAGATCGTGAAGAAAAAATAACATACATCAAACTTGTGTTGGCATTTGTTATTGCCACCAAGCATCATCTTCGTTTGGAATTTGGCACTGATTATAAAGATTACGAGGGCTTATTACCTTCGTCATCAAAAGGTTTTCAACGTACAAAGTTTGACGGTAATGCTGGCCAAGAGAATACGGAATTAGGCAGTGGAAGCCTTGAGGATCCGAACCATCCTGATAATATGGCTCGTCAAGACTCTCCAGAAATCAGTATACATACTGAAGCGGATGAGTCTACTCGCCTTCTTCCAAAGTCCCGAACCCAAGACCCAGTGGCGTATTTAAGAGATACTTTTCGTTTCAAAGATACTTTTCGTTCGCTTAGAAGTGGTCGAAATCATTCATGTGATATTGACGTGTTGACATGGGGAACCCAAGATCCGAAAATGAGTTTTCCAATGGTGAATTTTAAAAACAAAATTATTATTACTATTATTAATTCGCATTGCTTCGGTTTTATTATATCATCGGTCTTCGTTAATTATAGGAAATTGTGTTTTATCTGGGTACATATTTCGAACAACTGGCACGTGAAAAAAGAATTGAATCCTATAGACTTTGGTCAGTCTTGGACCAATTTATAGATATTTTAGGCAGTCTTGAAAGGATTAGTAACACGCCCATTCCTATAGCTTATAGAGTTCATTTGTAAGTAATGTTGGATTTCCTATTATATAATTTCATCCCTTTAATTAATATCTTTATTATTCATTACTTTAGGAAGCAAGCTGTGACTTTGTAAGTTATGATCTTTCTTATATAAGTTCAAATCATTTTACGATACTAATCGTTGCATTTTTGTCTAATGATAGGTACGTTTGGTTACTTCCATTCACTCTTGTCGATTTACTTGGATGGTTAACTATTCCGGTTATCTTTGTAATCTCCTTTATTCTTTTTGGTGTTGAAGCAATCGGTGAGTAGATTAATTATTGTCTTTTATCTTTGTAATGTATGAGTTCTGACGTAATACCTCATGTGAATAGGTTCTGAAATTGAGGATCCGTTTGGTAAGTTATTAGATTGCATATACTTACTTGAGTTAGTGTTTCAAATGAATTCGAAACCTTTCGTCCGGCGAAATTGTTTCGTGCTGGCGAAATATTTCGATTTTAAAAAAAGTGAAAAACTATATTTGCAAGTTAAATCGAAATTACAATCAGACCAACCTCTAGATGCAACAAAAATGCAATTTTCCTTATTGTTCTCTAAATGCAAATTGGTAAAGGTTTGGTCCCTATGAGTTGCATTTAGGGAAGTTTGACTGTATTTCGCTCTAGCAAATTATTTCTTAATGGCGATATTTCGGACTAGAGATTGTACCCGGGTAGACATGTTTATTATATTGTATAATAAGTTACCCGGATAACGGAGTAATTTAATAATACCCGGTAGAAATTTTCTTGACAGGTACAATCTCTATTTCGGATTTAGCCCAGAAACACTAACTTTAATCGTAACTTTTTTTGTGCGAATTATTTCTAATTTTATTATTTTAGGTTATGATGTAAATGATTTGCCTTTGGACGATTACTGCAAGGTTTGCACTTTTTTTAGTTTTTTAATTACATTTAGTATTAAATCAAGTGTTAACCCTGTTTTATACGTAGAATTTGGAAGCCGAAATTAAATACTTATATTGTTATCTTCCATCGGGACAATCTGACACTCATAGTTAAACAATGCAAAATCCGGTTCTTTAGTTTTCAAAACATAGAAAACTTTTCATACAATTTTATTAAACCATTTTGTATACACCAAGCACATATATATATATTTCTCGGCATTTAAAAAAGTCATAAATAAATAAAAAGCCGGATGAAATTTAAAATTTTATGAAATGAAGTATTAAAGTTACACCTGATCAAAATTAAATCTCCGAAATTAGATCTTGCATTAAGTAGTAAGTTCTACTTCAGTGGCAACCTCAAACAAACTGGTGACATATACCATAAACGAGTTGCGAAAAGATATTGACATAAAAGGTAAAAAAAATAGCACGGTCGGACTAGAGATTAAAGCCTGTGAAATTACTAAGTTACTATATACATGTATACATATAACGGATAAGGGTTACGGTATAACGGATTTTAAGTTTATTATAAATTTGTTATGTGTATATTAGTAAAAATATCAACGATTTTACGACAGGGTGAAACCCATATCCAGGGTTGTGAATAGACATAGTCTAATCAAAAAAATTATTGTCTAATTGTCTATTGAAATTCTATTAGTCTAATGAGTCTAATGTCTATTGGTTTTAAACTTATATTAGCAATATGATAACTAAAATTAACCAATCAGATTGGTTTAAATTATATAGTAATTTGTCTACTGTATTGTCTAATGACTTAATTAGACACCATTGGACCATTAGACTGTCTATTGTCTATTCACAACCCTGGCCATATCGGCCGATTTGTTTTGACCCCAAAATCGGCCAATCATGATCGAGGATTATCAAAAAAATTTTCCACGAAAATTTATTGCAGAGCGAATTTTCACAAAAACGGTCCTTTTAACTAGCCTTGCATTTATAATTAAGTACGTAGAAATTTATGAAATTCATGTATTTAGTTATAAGCCAAAAGTAAGTTAAAAATACCGTTTTTTTGAGAATTGGCTTCCGAATTTACCCTTGTTAGTTACCAACCCATCAAACAATGCCCAACCCATCCTAAAACACCCGAATATTTCAACAAAAGGTAAAAGTACTTCTTTCTACAGCTTAGCATAGCTCTTTTATTGGGGTTTATTGGTTTGTTTAACTAGTCTAGACGTTAAAAAAGCTCTTTTGTTAGTTGTAATAAGTGCTTCGTTTGTTACTTTTTCAACATCACTCACTTAGAAGCAAATTTCGTGTAACAGATTATCGAAAAAAGGCCCAAAAAATCAAATCACTATATAACGTGATCTACGTACGTTGCGGATATCACCCAATCCTAAAATATTATTTCGTTAAATCCATCAATATGCTTCGTATTGTGAGGATGAACCAGTTTTACGTAGCACTAGGATCAAATATAACTAATATTGTGTAAAGGCAATTAAAAAAAAAACTTGTATTAATTTGGTTAGTATATGAAAATAAAAAGCAACGCCTATTTCCACTATCGCTATGGTATGATACGTATTCGTCAAGTTAGGATACCTTAGATTATCTTTATTATGCTGCATAATATGCATATAATTAGCCTACTTACTGCAGGTTGAACAGATTATGTATATTGGCGAAATTACAGCTAAATTCTGGGACAACTGATAAAAATTTATTGTGCAGCTGATGCTGAAATTTGGAGTCTGATTTGAAAATCAATTAAAGCCCTGCTAAAATTCACATATACTCTTTAATTATCAATTCTAGCCCTAAATCCTAACCTAACCCTAAAAAAAAAAAAA